TTTGTAGGGCACAACTCACAAAAGCATACCAGACTTCGAATGTTCTCTTTGAGGTTTTAAAGGCTGTCAATTTGACATAATCTATTGAGGTTTTATAGGTGATGTTTGTAAATCGAAAGAATCCAACAATGAAAAATTAATCATTGATATGAAAAATTAGAAGCACTGAATTTATGATATTTGTTTTTGTAAGCTATTGAAAATTGAATGTTCAAGTATAATTTGTATTTGATCTCTTATAAGTGATATATTTATAGATATCTTTTCTTTGATTAAAAGTTCAAAGGGAAAAAATTACGGTTAAAAGGAACATTTAAGATTAATGTAGTTGACTGTAAAAAATTTCCTCGAGTGAAGTTAACTTAATACATCATGTATACTATAATTTTTTCTTCACTTTTCATATTAAATCATTCCTCAAGTCATATTAAATCACTTTTCATACTAGAATGTAAATTTAGTCGATTGAAAAATACAAGAAACCTCCCAGTGAATGCGTCACTTATAAACCGAAGCTAGTTTCCACAGTATAAACATTTAGTTAAATGTTGATGTAAAATTTTAATATATTTTTACATAAATTATATAAAATTAAATATTAATTAAAATAAAAATAATACATGATATATTTAAATACTCAAGTAATATATTATCAACAGATATAATTTTTATATAAATAATTTTTATTTAAATACTCAAGTAATATATTATCAACATATATAATTTTTATATAAATAATTTTTATTTAAATATTTAGAATTTCACTTGTTAAAAAATATAGACCAAGGATAATTTAGTAAAATATACATTTCAGTAATCTTTTATTCCTTCAACCAAACACTGTAATCTTATATTCCTGCCAAACCAACCAAACACAGTAATGTAACATTCTCAGTAATCCTATTCCCTGGTAATCTTTTATTCCCACTGGTAATTTTACATTCCGTAAACCAAACGCACCCTAAGGATGCTCAAAACATCAGACGGGAGTTCCTGAAAAATCGAGAGACCTAGCCGACCATCTTTTCCCAAATGAGCAAGTACATCAGTAAGAACGTTGGCTTTACGGTAAATGTGGATGACCATGACTCTCCTTTGCTGGTCTAAGCACTTTCGGATTCATCTGATAAGGGCATCATCATTCACACAGTCGGTGGAATTGAGACATCTTACCATATTGCCATTATCGATCTCCACCACAACGTTGCGGAAACCATGATTCCAGAAAATGGAAAAGTCATCAAGCACCGCCCAAATCACCTCGCTATTTTATTTTATAAAATATCTAGTATGAACTACAATTTGACATATATATAAATGTTGTCACTCATAAATCTAATATTGAATTTGGTTCAATAGTTGGATGCTCTCATGCTCCCTCGCATGTTCTAGGTTTGAATCTCTCTCTCATTTTTATTTTCTTGATTTTTCATCAATGAGATGTAATTTAATGGTTAGACGTGACTCTATAATCTACGGACAATCTAGGTTTGAGTCTCCTCTTTCTCATTTTTGTTTTATTTATTTCCTCCAGTGACGGAACTTGATATGATCTCGATTATGAGTTTCGAGTCATATATATGATTGCCCGATCGTGATTCTAATAAGAGATTAAATTTCTTGCTTTGAACCTGAAAATCATGATTTGTAAAATGTTAATGAAAAATAGAGATGTAATGAAAATGAAGGATTGATATGGAAATGATTTTTAGGATTTGGTTAAGTACGGAAGATGATGGAAGCTATAGTTTGGATGGAATGAAAGTATGGCGAAGGTATGAGTTGGTAATGGCGTGGAATGTGTAAGATGGATCGAAAAGAAAACAGATTATGACCCTATAACTATATGGAGTTAGGAACCAACAATATAAAGAGATAGAATCGAAGTGGAAGTAGGTGAAACGTGACCCACTAGCTATAGATGAGCTAGGAACCAACGTTATAACAAAAGGAAATGGATGAAGACTACAAGACTATCTTGAAGCCGATAAAGTTCTACAAGAGAACAAGAATAAAAGCAACCTTTCAAAGATGTATTATATATTCAAAAGTGTGTATACAAATGATCCCAAATGTGCCTATTTATAGTATTTCTAAGCATCATATGAAAAAAACTCAAAAGATGAAAACCTTCTCATCAATTTAACAATAAAAGGCACTTGAATGCTTTGTCTTCTTATCTTCAAGGTTGGGTGAATATTCTAGATCATTTTGGGGATGAATCTAGACAATTTGAAGTTGAATTTGGCCATAATTTCGTCCAAGGGGTGGAAGACTCTTGCTATTTCATGCTAAAAATTGTCTTAATAAGTGAATAAAATCAGCCTCCATTGTTTGTTACCTTGTAGAATATGATCAACCTTCAAAAAGATGATAAAGACCTTGAATGTTATGTTTTGAATGTTGGTCATTGCATACCCCCTTGCTTGAACGTGAATGGCCTTCAATGGGTTATAACATCAACCTTGAATGACTTGAATTTGTGAATTAAGATGGCCATCAATTGCTTATCTCTTGGTAGAAGATGAAAGGACTTCCTTGGCTCAAACTCATCCAAATCATCCTTATATAAATTCCCGTAATGAAAACTCCAGCCTGCACTGTCTTCAGTAAATCAATCATATCTTAAGCTCCCGATATCGGATTGAGGTGATTAAAAAGGAGTTGGAAAGCTAAAAGAAAGAGGAATACTGTCCAATTGATTTTTGGACCCAAAAAAAGTCTGTATCGCATCCAGAATTATAAGACATTCTAACTTATATTCTTGCATCTGTTGAAACCTTTCAACTTCTCTCATGCACCTAGACAAAAAGGTGAACTTTATTCAATCTTTAATTGAAAACATGCATGAGACAATTAAGAGTTAGTTTAATATATGAACTAGTTTGATGAATGAACTAGTTTAATTAATGAACTAACTTTATTTAATGAACTAGATGCATGAATGAAGTAGCTTACTAAATGATCTAAATATGTATAAATGAACTACTTCCCTAAATGAACTAGATACTTTAAATGCAATGCATGATTAAATGAACAACACACTTATTAAATGCAATGAATGTCATGCAACTAATAAAACCCATGTAAATTCATGCAATGAATGATATCATATGATAAGCATATCCCAAAAGGTAAATACAAACATATGATAAAATATAGTGCATAAATGAACAAGTATAGGATTAAGTAAGGTAGAACTCCCTTTGAATCAACCTTGGTGAACTTCAATGATTTAATCAGATCAAGACGGAAGTTGGAGCTGATTGGGATCACATCAGAACTCAACATTATTTCTTGGGGGCATTTTAGAAAATATATATATTAGTTAAAATATTTTATTACCTTCAACTTAAATGAAGTTAAAAATTGAATATTTAATATCTTGATTGAAGTTCTCAACTTAAACAAGATGAACAATCAAATAGAAAAAAGATAAAAAAATGTATCTTAAAATAAAAAATAATAAAGGAGAATATATTTTCATTCATTTAAAAATAATAATAATACAAGAAAATGAATGTTAACTAAATTTTGAAGTAGTATACACATTTTTTTGGATAACTAAATTTAATAACATATTATATACACTTTTAAAGGGATCAACTTAAGAATTTAATATATATAAATATATACCAATAATAAGTTGGTCTAATGAGATGATACACTAGATCCCTTAGCAAGGTAAGGGTTTTGAATTCTGACATTTGCGAATGGAGCAAATTGGGTTGGGAGAGTGCTCTCACTTCTGCAGTACTTTGATCCAGATTAATCGATTAATAAATTAGATACCAATGATTATACCAAAAATATATATTAATAAGTTAGAGTGATTAAATTAGGAGTAATTTTAAAGTTAAGTCATTAAATTAAAAAAAAAACTTTAGTGACCAAAATAGGAGTGAGAAGTTAATTGAGTGATGAATGATGCAATTTACCCATTCACCCATTAAGGTTTTTGAGGTACTAAATCGCAACAAAAACTAAATATTATGTATGATTTTGAAAAAAATAAAAGTTTAAGTATTAAAATAGAATAAAACTAATAATTTAGATACTAAGCGCATAATTTACCCTAAAAATTGGAGGGCCAGACCCCTCTAGTTGTTTAATAGTTTCGTTTTTCTCCAATAATGACACATCATCACATGATTGGATGGTTAAAAATTTTATATTATTTTAAATTAAATTTATGATAAAATTAATAAAATATTTAAATAATGATGATTAAATATATTATTATTTTAATTAATATCAAATTAAATAAAGTATTTAAATAATAAAAATCAAATATATTATTATATAAAATTATTTAACTTCCACGTCAACAAATAATTTCAGAGTTAACTGTGATAACTTGACTGGAATCAAATAAAAAATAATTTAAGAGTTAACCGTGGATAACTTGACTAGAATCAAATGAAAATTTTGATAATCTAATTAATAAATAACTAAGTCATTGATAAAAAAATGTAAAAAAAAAGTGGGGTTTATACTCTAATATATATATATATATTTTTATTAATCTAAAATAAATATAAATTATTATTTATTTAAAAATATTTTTCATTATACCTCTCACATTCAAATATTTGAATGTTGAAGAAAGAATTCCATGTGAAGTGTGAGACACAACTTTGACGCGGCTTCCAGTTACCGGGAAAATAAGTGAAGCTCTTTTTCGTTGGTCCCACAAGTGGCTTAGCTGATTTATTTTGCATTAAAAGCTGTTAAATGTCAACTCACCACCGAATCACGACCTTTTGACCTTCTGCTTTTCCCTTTTATCATCATTTCCACACGGTCTTCGAAACCGGTATATCCCGTTGCCGAGGGACTTGTACTTTTCTCCCAAAGCGTGTTGGTTAACGTGCTGACAATTCTTAAATACGTGGAACCATTTTATTGGATGGTAGTTTGACGGGAATGTATGAAAGGAGAAATGTCAGTGACCCGATGCCCAAATCCATTGGCTTTGCTTTTATGAGTTTTCATTATCAATCATCAATCGTCTTCGTCCAAGAATTGTTCTATAAAATCAAAATTGTGGATTTCATCTTTGGATGAACAAAAATGGCGGTGGAGTTGATGATGGGATATGGTGATGAGAATAGTTTTGCAGAAACTGCTTTGAATGAAGCTGCAACTGCTGGGATCCAAGGCGTTGAGGAATTGATAAAATTGATGTCTAAAGCTCAACATCTTTACAATCAAAATGATTCTTTTAAAATATCTTCTTCTTCTTCTTCTTCTTCTTCAGATTCAGAGTCAAGTATCGTGATCCAAGCTGTTACAGATAAGACTGTAAATTCTTTCAAGAAAGTTATTTCTTTGCTCGGTCATCCCAGAACAGGCCATGCTCGGTTCAGACGTGCGCCGCTTTCTCCTCTCCGACGAGAGATATTTGATTCCCAGCAGCCTCCGCAGAAGATTGAAGTGTTAAAGACTTGTTCTGTTGAAGAAACTAAAGTTAAAGTGTCTGCCTTTAATCCATTTTGTCTGACACGACAAGTTCATAGGTTGCCTCCTTTGCCTCATAATCACCACCAGAGTAAAAGCAGCCATGTTTCGGAGAGAAATGAAGGTCCTAGTACGATTAATTTCTCATCAATGACGGGGGATAGTGATAGCATGCAGCCATCTTTCTCTTCCCATGTCCCTTCATCTGGTAAACCTCCGTTGTCTTCGAAAAGGAAGTGCAATTCATTGGATGCTGCTGCTCTCAAGTGTGGATCGTCATCTGGTCCTTGCCATTGCTCCAAGAAAAGGTTGGTTTTTCTTCTTTTGATCTAATTTGGATGGTTTTATTTAATCGATCGGATCATAAAGTTTCAAACTTTTGATTGAATTTATTTGTTACGTAGGAAGTTTAGAGTGAAGAAAGTGATTAGAGTTCCGGCAATCAGCAATAAGACATCGGATATTCCTCCTGATGATTATTCCTGGAGAAAATATGGCCAGAAACCAATCAAGGGTTCTCCTCATCCAAGGTGAGTTATTAGCTCATTTGTTAGGTGTTGGTGAGTCAACTTAACTCAGTCCCTGAGTTCCCTTCTTTGTTCAAATTTGCAGGGGGTATTACAAGTGTAGCGGCGTCCGAGGCTGTCCTGCCAGGAAACACGTCGAGCGAGCATTAGACGATCCGAGGATGTTGATTGTGACATACGAAGGAGATCACAACCATAGACAAAACATCGGTGATGTTCCAGCAACTATGATTCTGGAGTCATCTTAGTACCTCATCACTAGGGATTTGAATTAGGGTTACGATCGTATTTTCGATTACATTCCGTTTACTAGGATTATAAATCTAATAACAACTTTGAATGGCATTGTTACTGTTATACAACTGTTGTTATTCCTATAACAAACTGCTATTTGAATCCTTGTACATCACCCATATCCGACGGTCTGTAAAGAAGGTTGATTAGTGGACGCTAGAAGACAATATAGGATTCATTGTTTTTTGGTTTTGCAAGAAGACTTTGTTCACACAAAAAAACCATAAAAAAAAGGAGGCATAGAGTTGGAGATTGTGGATTTGGTGAGATTTGAATCATGCAAGTGTTGATTTTTTTATATGTTTCTATACTAAATTTACCATTCATACATAAGAATGTGGTGGATTTTGTTGAGGATGCTGTCACATTAATTTGTTCCTGTATCTCCACTAAAGCTCTGAATGATGGTCCATTACTACGCACATTTATAATTTAAAGGCATGTAAATGGGTGTTGCAGTTGATGAAGAAACGAGTTTATTTATTTTTATTGTTTTAAACAAAGGATGTGTCTATTATATGAAGGTTGACCTTGCTGAATTTAAATAGTGTTGAGGTGAAGTATGACACAAAGAACAAAGAAAGCTAATGTGTGGTTGGTTTTTTGTTAGCTTGTGATTGTTTTCATCTGCGAACGTTGTGGACTGACGTTGATTTTTTGTGAATTTTTAAAGAGAAATGTTGGGGGGATTCAGTTCATATGATGGTTTTAGAAGAAAAAAGAAACTATTTGTAGGAATATATATTTATATTATAAATTTTATTTTTATCATGATCTAATATTAATCTTCTGTTTTAAGACATACTCTATATTTATAAAAAAAAAATTGATCACCAAAAATTCTTATTCTATAAAAAAATGTTATTTGAGTAAATTTAATTATCAAGTCAGCTTCCATCGTTGAAATTGCATCAAAATCCAACTTAATTACTAATTAGAATTTGAGTTAGTACATCACACAAATAAACATTATTATTGATAGAAAAGTTAAACACTTTAAAAATAACATAATAATAGAACATCAAACATGTCGATTACTGTGTTTTCATAAGTCAAGTACCACATGTCTAGGATAATTACATGCAGCTATCAGGATGAGAAAACATTTCTTTGATTTTAAAGGAGCGGATCATAAAAATAACCAAATATTTATCAATTGAATAATCTAACTCTAAATAAAAATTATAAAAGCAAGACTAAAATAGGCTACAAGAGTAAAAGAAATATACCATTTTTATAAGAAAATGAAAAGGATTATTACATAAACAAAAGAATAATATATTTTATAAAATTAATTTTATACTTAGTTATGCTGATCGAATAAAATAGCAACGTAACAACTAAGACTCTTTTTTTCTTTTAAGAATGATTGAATTTCTTTTCCTTTTTTTATCTTCTTTAAATAACAAATTGACGTAGCTGAGGCTTTCGTAATACGGAACATCGTATGAAAATATTAAAAAAATAGAAGGAGAAAGAAAAGAGCGATGGATAGGCAATAGAGTGGAGCTCCAGTACCCAAATTGCATAGGTGTTTCAGTGACACATCATTCACCCTTCCCACATGTTATTCTGGATGTGGCTTTGGTTTTATGCTTTGCAAAAGTTATCCAACGATGATGAAGAAAAGGATCTCCTCATGTAAACCAAAGTTTCGAATTCTGTGATCAACGATAGTTGGTAAAATTTTACAATTTCCTTTCGGATTTTGGGTATTGGGATCCAATGTTTGAAGAGTACAAGATTTAAATGATTGAAACCCAAGGGAAAATAATTTAGTTTGTCATCGTAGTTATCCAACAAACAAAGATAAGGTGAAAGTTTCTTATGCATCTCTTTCTCTATTTTTTTTTTATTTTCTCAAATATTCTTCATAGAGAAAAAGTAAAACAAAATCCAAAAGCACTAAATTTATTTGTTATTTAGTTGTGGAATAAAGGAGTTTGACAGGAGTGGATCCCATCATCTCTTCATTTCAAATTCGTTGAGTGCGATGACCCTTTTTTGATCAGAAATGGCTTCATTAAATAAGTATCGTGAATGACCCCACCCACACCTGAAGCTTTGCAGCAGCCTTATATTCACCGCAATCATTCACCGCAGCTAGGTTTCGTTTTTCTATATATATTCCACCATTATTGGACATTTAGCTGGAATGTTTAGAAACAAATAAAATACTGTATAAATTTGTAAGGTTTGTAACAAATTTAAAATTGAATGTTATGGGGTCAGTCCTCTTATTCTTACCCACTCTATCCTAGTTGTTCGACTTACCCTAACCTTCCCATGCAGAATATATGTATACGCACGTATACTTTAAACAATACCTGCTTTTGGGTCTTTCTTTGAATTGAAAAAAATGAAATTTAAAGAAATAATGAAATTAATATAAATAACCAAGTAATTATCCGTTGCTCTAGTACAATAAAATAATATCTTTTCAAATAATATTTAAAATGTAAATTATAATATTATAAAGGATCATTGGATCTCATAATATTTAATTCAAATTATTAGATCAATAAATTAAAAAACAATATGAATGGATGAGTGAATTTTTCCTCAGTGTCGGTAGGATGTTTTTGTATTTTCCTAAAGTCCTTGGCTCCACTAACCTTGGCTTGAACCTTTCATTCCTAAAATAAATAAACTGTACGATCTTTCTTTTTCTTTGTTTTGTTCCCGGTATTTGCTTTTCTTCCCTCTCTTTATCCAAAGTTATCTCTGCTTCTATACAATATTTGTCCAATAAGTTTTAACGTCCTGGACGAGATAATAATTTTATGTTCTTATATTTGTACCGTATAATAGATAAAACATAAATAATTTTTTTAAAACAAGGGAGAATTAATTTTTTTGGATCTTCGTCGCCTACCCTAAGCTTTCCATCGACCGATCAGATGTTTTGGACTAATTTGTTTTGGGTCAAATATATATATACACACGCTATAAACACTAGAAAACTGTTTCCCCTCAACATGTTGTCCTGAACTAAGATCCATCTAGCACATATATTGGGTCGGGCCTGTGTACAAAATAAATTACTATTTGCTAAGGTATAATAATATTCAATATATTTAAATTAAATTATTTATATTTTGTTATTATTAGACAATGAATATTATACGGAATAGTTTTAATTTTTTCATCTATTAACTGGATCTATGAGGACTAAACAAGACCTGCCACAAACAATTATTGATACATAAAGTTAGCATAAATTACAATCTTTTTCTGAACAAAGCATAAATTATATTATCACATACAATGCAGATATGAGATATCGATCAATAGATAAATAAAGTTGGGGTTTCATGGTAGAACAACAAGGATCACGTGGCAGGTAAAGTCATCCAAAAAGAACCTGAAAATGGCACCCAACAAATGAATTTTTTAAATAATAATAATAAAAAGAATATAACAACTATTCAATATCATTAATTTTGGACATTTCCCCGTAAAATTTCCACACAATCCAAAATGTACAGATGAAAAGTGTTCGCTTACTCGAATTGATCCAAATAGACAAAGATAACATTGTCTTACATTGTAACTTCGTAATATTTGAATAGATAAATATTAAACAATTTACTGCTAAACGTGTCTTATGCAATATAAAAGTATTTTTTTAATTTTAGATCTATTAAATTAAGTGTAACATTTTAAGAATAGTTAACTGGATAATAATCATATTATATTTGTGGAGCATGTGTCTTGGATTATGAAATTTAGCCCAAGATTTGACCGAAACTTTAAACATCAAAGGCTACATTATAAGTGTTCACCTTCGTTGTTTGCTTTCTGCCACAATCCTTCTAAATGTGCAACCAAATCATGCTTCCAAACCTACTCTTTTCTGCTTTCCTCCTCCTTAGTTCATGTCTCTTCCGGATTGGAATCTCCCAAAAATGCCCCCGTCCTCCTCCCTGTCCGACGATCTCACCACCGCCACGCCCTACTCGAACCGTCTCTTACGTTCGACCCCGTCAGCCGCTATACAATCTTCAACTCCGTCTCTTACCTCAGCAGCCGAATAACAATCCAGGCCCCTTAGCCAATCAAGCCAGGATTCTCGCCATTACACAAGAACTCAAACGAAACATTACCTTCGACCCCCAAAACTACACAGGTACTTGGGTCGGCAACAACTACTGCCTCTTCAAAGGGTTCGTTTGCGACACCGTGCCAGACCTCAACATAACTGGACTTGCAGGCATTGATTTCAATGGTGCAACGTTCAGTGGTAACTTGAATTTCTATCGTTTCGTTACAAACTTGCCTGACATTGCCATCTTCCATGCCAATTCAAACAACTTCAGTGGTATCATAGGTCAAGGTCTTAGTGGTTTACGTTACTTTTACGAAATCGATTTGAGTAACAATAAGTTTATCGGAGGGTTCCCGTCGAACGTTCTTAGTGCCAGGAACTTAACCTTCATCGATCTTCGTTTCAACAACTATCTCGGAACAGTCCCTCGTAGCGTGTTCAATTTTGACACCGATGTTCTTTTCATCAACAACAACGTGTTTTCTCAATCGGTCCCTACCAATCTCGGCAACACACCGGCACTTTATTTGACCCTAGCGAACAATAACTTCACTGGTACCATCCCACGAAGCATTGGGGCTGCCTGGGAAACCATGACTGAGGTTTTGTTCCTAGGCAACAAGCTATTCGGTTGTCTACCTTTCGAAATAGGGTACTTGAACCGAACAACCGTATTTGATGTCGGATCGAACAGGTAAACCGGTACGATCCCGCAGTCGTTCGGATGCATGGCGAAGTTACAGCTGCTCAACATTGCTCACAACCGCTTCTACGGTGCGATACCGGAGGCTCTTTGCCGGCTTCCGAATGCATTCAATTTCACGCTGTCCAACAATTATTTCACCCAAGTAGGCCCACAATGTCGGAGGCTGATCAAGCTAAGGAGGCTGAACGTAAACAGGAACTGTATAATGGGGCTTCCATTTCAAAGATCGGCAGCCGATTGTTCGAATTTCTTTTCGAGTCCTCGGAATTGTGCTCGGGAAAGCACTTTCAGTATCATCCCATGTCGACT